GGATTGATTTTAGTTTTTGATCACGTGATTGTGGAAACCATCAGTTTCTCGAACTAAACGATACTGAACAATCTTAGTTATAATGAGGTTGAAATATATTGTATAAAACCTTAACGGTTTTAAGGAAGCCATTTAACGGTAGGGATATGAAGCACCCGATCAACGGATAAGTACGCCAATATTATGTATGCAGTAACATTGAATTTAAGAAAGTCTTAGTTTCTATCAAGAGATTAAAACATTTCCCTTCGTGAACGCGCAGCGTCATGACTTATCTTCTTACTCGAGACTCTGGCGCTTAAACAGAGAAAAAAACGGATTACGGCGTTTAGAAAAATATGTATTGTAGAATTCGCCGCTGGACAAAAAAACAAACAAACAAACAAAAAAAGATTTGTGCTCGTATGCCCGTCTATCGCGTCCTATTTAGGTCGAAATTTTCAACAGTTAGTGGTCATATGATAAAATGTTTATTGACTGAGTTTTGTTGGGCCGGACGGGAAAATATTAGGCTCTCGGTCACGAAGCAAGGACCTCGCTACGCTCCTACCTCTCAATCAATAAGTACATAGTATTTGGGTTTGTATGTCACACTTTTATCCCTAATGATGTAATTGAACATGAAAAATGCGAAGTGTTATTCTATTTTTCATGGGGAATGACAAGCCTAAGTGTTGATTCTTTTAAAGCTTTCATTTACATCACAAGATTGATCACAGTACAACCTAAGTTTCTTTCTTTAAACAGTAACCTATCTTTGCGTGACAATCGACTCATTGTCTTCGTGAACTTTTAATTTTCTAGCGGGTGTGATTTGTATGATCGAAGCCAGAATTGCTAAAAAAAACTGAGTGACTGTATTTCGGTTGAGCTCGTCACACTTTTCTGACTAATGACGGATTTTAGCGTCCAAAAATGAAACATTGTTTATAACATGTTCTACTCTCGTAACTTAGCACCGAGTCACACAACGCGTAACGCTTTCATGAATTAATCGTTTGCGTTTCCTCGAGAAGTGAGCTTTGGCCGCCACTGCTGACATCGGTAAAAGACATTCTGCATTATAAATATGCCTTAATATAGGATTGAAGTTAGTTTTTGATCACGTGATTGTGGAAACCATCAGTTTCTCAAACTAAACAATGCCGAACAATCTTAGTTATAATGAGGTTGAAATATATTGTATGAAACCATAACGGTTTGAAGAAAGCGATTTTACGGTGAGGATATGAAGCATCCGTTCAACGCAAAAGTACGCTTATACTCTGTATGCAATAACAGTGAATTTAAGAAAGTTTTAGTTTCTCTGAGAAAATTAAAACATCTCTCTTCATGAGTGCGCAGCGTCATGACTTATCTTCTTATGCGAGACTGGCGCTTAAACAGACAGAAAAAAGAAAGGGATTACGGCGTTTAGAAACATATGTACCGTAGAACCCGCCGCTAGTATCTAAAAACTTAAGCGACCATGAAACATTTGTGTACAAGTAGAAAACGGAGATTCAATTGGAGTCTACCGCAATCTTGGAATCGATCGTTAAACCCTCCTAAAAAGTGTCAAGTTAATAGCTAGTGGAGATCGTAGCCACTGGAAAACCACGTAATGAAGCACTACGGATTTCCTATATCAACGTGGGACAATCCAGTTTTATGATCATCAATTTCTCAAATTGTACAATACTCAATAACCTTATTTTAGTTAATGAGGATAAATCATACGGTATAAAGCCACAGAGATTTGAAAAAGTTGCCGTAAAACCAATTTATTTCGCCGTGGTGACGATTCAATCGCGCCATCAACCGCTTTAACGAAGGACTAACTCTCGAAACGTGACGTATCGCAAACATAAAGATAAAAAAAGTAGGTACTGGGCTTTGCCATAAGTGCCTTACCTCTCTACAGTTACTAAATAACTAAAGCTGATAAAAACCGAGTGACTAGGAAAGATTTTCAATCGCACTTACCAAGATGTTGACAGTGTGGCTGATGCTTTCAAAATGAAACAACAAAAATAACGAATTACTTTTCCCAACCTTCCGAACTTCCGCTGTCACAGTGTTTTAGGTATCTAGATCACGTGTGTTTAGGTTATTCCCTTCCCCCCCTCTGGGCTTATCGAAATAAAGGGAAAAGTTTTAAATTGCATACTTCTTGTGTGCCCGTATGCCCGTCTATCGCGTTCCATTTAGGTTGAAGTTTTTAACAATTAGTGGTCATATGATAAAATGCTTATTGACCGAATTTGGTGGGGCCAGTGAAGAAAATATTAAGCTCAGTGTCATGAAGAAAGGACCTCGCTGCGCCCCTACCACTCCATCAATAAGTACACAGTATTTTGGTTTCGCACGTCACACTTTTATCACTCATGATGTAATTGAACATGAAAAATGAAAAGTGTTATTCTTTTTTCAACAGGAAATGTCAGGTTTCAGTGTTTACCCCTTTGAAAGGTTTGATTTTCATCACAAGATCGACCACAGTATGACCTAGGTCTAATTTTTTTTTAACTCTAAGCTATCTTTGCGTGATAATGGACTCATTGTCTTCGTGAACTTTTCATTTTCTAGCAGGTGTGATTTGCATGATCAAAGCCAAAACTACTAAAAAAGCCAAGTGACTGTAATTCGGTTTTGCACGTCACACTTTTGTAACTGGTGATGGTTATAAAATAATTGAGATAGTTCGCACGCTCTCATAGGTCAACTGGTTAGTTTAGATGAGAGTATGTAAACACAGCTTGTTGGGACGTCACACTTTTAATATTTACCGGGGCAATTTGAAAACATTTCAAACTCACAGTTTTCCCAATACTCGCAAAGTAATTTCAAGTATAAGTGATAAATATCGGAATTGGAGAAAAATGTGCTAAGTTTTGATCTGGGGTTTGGCTTCCGTCCCCCCTCCTCAGTGAGGAACAAGAAGGAAGAAAAAGAGGAACTAGCGCTTTGCCTGCCTCGTTTGTTCGTTACGGCTGAACGAAGACAAAAATCATGCTGCTTAGGTCTCTAAGGCAGGGTAATTAATTTATTTTTAAAAAATGACATTTAGTTGCCCTTTTGGTGTGCCCTGAGCAGACGCCGGTCCCTCGTAAAAATGCCGAGTAATCAAGTCGATTTTGAAATTAACGCAGAGGTCACATAATCGAAAGAAAACGGTGACGCTGATTGCAAAATGAGAAACTTTATAAAGCGAGACTACATTTTTCAAAATAAACAAACAGTGACGTGGCTTGATTAAATTTCCTGAACTTAAGAGTCATCAGATATATTGACAACTGACATATTTAAACGTTAAGTCAAGTACATGCGTATTCAAAGTGGGGAAACTTTGCATCGATATTGGTTGAAAGCGAAGGTGGTTGATTAATTTATCTTACTTGACCAATACTGTTCCAATGCTGGACTCACGCTTAAAGACCAGCGGTTATGTGTTATAAGTAGGTCCAAAATTAACGACCAATTGCCTAAATTTAGATAGATTTTGCCTTTGGGATATTTCTCAGATATCATTGGCTAATTTTCAGCTGGTTAAGATGTCACTTTTTTACCTATGTATTTTCTACCCTTCTTTAACTTCATTTGCTTGCAGTTTATCACTTCCCTTTATCGGAATAGTAGTTGAGATCTCCGTGCTCATCTGATTAAGTTAACAAATTCTTCCAGCTTTTGCATGATTTAATTTTAAACTCTTCAGATTCACCGTAAAAGGAAATATCTCATTCAGAAAACAACTGGTTTCCTTGGTTTCCCATCCTGTTATCACTGAAAACTTTCCACTTGAATATTCTCTTCGCATATCTTTTATTTTCCTCTAATTGCTGCTTCCTGCTCTCTGTTATCGCACTTAGCTTGTTTTGAAGCCAAAAAAAAAGTAAAAATACAAAATATACCACCGACAGATATTGGCTACATAAGTAATTAGAAAAAAGGCTATAAAACGCACAATTACAAAAATGCACGGTCATTCAAGGCTACTGTTCCTCAGTGAAGGCGAGGCCGATCTTTGACGAAGAAAATGGCCGTTGTACAGTTGTGTATATTAGCGCTGTTTGTGGCTTCCACAAAAAGTAGCAGTATGTATAACATGTATTCCAACATGATCATGCTCGATGACAAAGGAAATTACAATGTTTCCCACAACTACTATGAGTTCGCAGACAGACTGGAGTTTATGGTGCAAGTAAGAACCATAGGTTGGGTTGGTTTCGGTGTTGCTGGAGTAGCACCAAATAATATCAGTAACTATGATGTGGCAATAAGGGGTGTGAAAGATGACGGAACAAGCTATCTGCAGGTAGGTCGGAATAACAAAATGTAAACTATCTAAAATCAAAAGAAAAAAACGCGGGCTCGACACATGTTACGATTTTTGTCCGATTTCTTTCATTCAAGTTAAGACGCTAAATTCTGATGGCGAAAATATGTAAAATAAAAGTGAAGAATTTAACTTACAAAGTATAGTGGAGATATGGACGCAAGTCTCTAAATTTAGAGAGAAATGGCATGTTTATTGTTTATGTAAAACATTTGGTATTAGTATACTCAAATATTAATATTGTTGCTTCACAAATTTCGTCTTTTATCTATTCTATTAATTTAAAAAGTCTATTAAAAAACTTTAAGCTCTGTTCCCTTCGAGCAGTTCTCATCAATCACCCTGTCGGGGTCTCCTTTTCTGTCAAAAGGTGGAAAACAACGGTTATTATTAACTCAACTAATATTTTAGACACAAAGCAAATACAATTATATTAAGCACAATATGTAAAAATATAAATGGCTAACACCTGTGTCTGATTGGCAGAGAGGCAGCTTATTTATAAAATGTACTATAGTACCATTATAACTAAGCAGATTTACATAACGCTCATCTTTCGTCAGAAAAGAGACATTTGGAAGCTCTGACATGTTTTACATTTCGATTTTCCCGATCCCCTTGAAAGATTTATGGGTTGTTCTTGTGTTATAGATCCTTTAAGTAATAGGTAAACATAGCAACATAACATTGTTTTTTTTTATTTCCTAAATTTCAATTAAAAAATATGGCTGCTGCCATTAATTTTAGTCATTCGTCGTAGTTTAAACATTTTTGTATTGCCTGTTTGTTTTGTTGTTGTTGTTTTTTTTACATTATTTCCAGTTAAGTTTAAATGACTAAGACTATGTTGACTTTTACAATTTCCTTGCTAAGGAACGATAACTTCTTTAAGAATCGACGGTATAAGCTATAAATTCACAGAAATATCATAAATCACATATCAGTAGAAATTCACAAATGCTGCAATCTGATTGGCTACGCAACTACGTAGCCTCATACTGTCCAGGTGTCTAAAAAAATCATGAGCCTGTTTCGTTGTTAAGTTTTGAACGAGTTCAACTTAGAAGTTCAACTAAACAGTTTAATCATTCGCTTTTGATTTCTCTGTGTGATAATTGATTCAGGCTTGGCCCAAGTCAACGACCACGCGAAAGAAATCTTGAACTCATAGGGCAATTTTCAATCCAAGATTACGTTTGTTTGTTCCACTCTGTCATTGATCCAGAAAACTTGGGCCACTCACTTTCAACCAATCAGATGCAAAACTAAAACCAACCACGACTTAGTCGCCCGTGCTCTCCCGCGCTTTAGACAGTTTGGTTGTGTTCACTTTGATTTCTCTTTGGCTCTTCAAAGTATTTTTTCCTTTTGATTGGCTGTTGGGATTATTTTGGTTTCAGTTTTACGACACATAGTCAAAACGCGCTCCACCCGAAATTTCAAGGGTTAAATATGAACAAAACTGGGAAATGTCACCCCCACTCAACAAGAGAGAGAAACTCACAAACGGAGCCAAAATCGTCAGGCAAGTCGTCGTTCCATGTAATAGCGCTACTCTTAATTTCTTAATCCACCCAAAGGAAGTAGTGCAACTGATTCTACGTGATATCAGTACGACATGCGCGCAAAAACACGTAAGCGTATCTGTTAACCACAGAGTTGTTTGGCCTTAAACATCCTGCAATTCACCAGCCAGTGGACAAAAGCCCCCACTAAAGAATTTCCTTCATGTGGCTGGCGGTTTACAGCGGTTCAAATCTCCGCTGCATCACTTTGCTGCTTAAAATCCTATTGTGACTATAACTGGAAAGTTTGTCTCCAGTCTCCACTGTTCCATTAGCCATCTTTAGTACTCGTAACCAGGCTTCTTCTCAGATTCCAATTCCCGGCCTCGAGGCTGTGTGATAACAGACACGTTATAAATGAGTTTTCCACTGGATTTCCAGTTGCTAATTATGGTAAAAACCTCTATAACTGATTTTGCATAGATATCCTACATGCTAACTTTTAAAACTTGTGACTAATCCATTTTATGACTAATCACTGGTATTCCAGTCGCTAGTTGAACTAAAAACTTCTAGACCTGTTTTCGCAAGGATATCCTACGTGCTAACTTTTAAAACTGATAACTAATAAATTTTTGGTATGTGTAATTTGTTCAGACAGTCGGTCCACGCTGTGTAATAACACATTACACAGCCATCCCTTCCAACAAGGTTACTGCAGCTGTTTATTTTGTTGTTTTGTTTTTCCGTTTCAGGGCCGTAAAGGTGTTGCAAATACGGCCACCGGGCCTGAGAATTCACATCCACTTTCAAGTCAGGAAGTCCTCATAAGTGACTTAAGACAGAATTTCTCCTTACAATATCAAAACAATATAAAGCAGACAAGTTATGAGAATAAAAAAAAAATCAACTAGGGGATTATCAGTTGATCCATCAACAAATTCTCCGAACTAACATCTAAAGAATCGTAAGACAGACAGTAAGGAGAGTTAATAAAAATATCTTGGGAGTGAAAGGGTTAAAGGATACAGCCTTTCAGCGAGAAGCCAGTATGGCGATTTGGATCGTAAACTTTACGGTAGTCAAACACTTGAATAATTTATAACTAATTTAGTGAACCGAATTAGAGCGTAGAAACATCTTCTGATGATTGTGTTAATAAATAAAACCAACCAAATTGAGCGTTATCCGATGTTCTGCCAACGCGTTGCAAAATATTTGCATTTTTTCACGTTTTGGACATAAAAAAAGTTTCTTACCTTTATAAAAACATTGGTCGGAACCAATTTCTGCGCATGTTCATCTCAGCTAACCTGAAAGCGAGGCAGTTTGAAATGCAGCTTGGGAAGAGTCAAAAAGCCCCCGTAAAGAGGGTACAAACTGAACTTGAGCCTGTGATCGCCAGTTGGCCGCAGACGAAATTGAATCTGGAGATGAAATTCATAGTTAACAACTATTCACCAAAGTTGCGTTGGCTTCTGGCGAATTCCGCCCGCGTTTCTCGTAGATAAATAGCAAAGGATATTGGGAGTTTGAGTAGCCAATCAGTGCGCAGTAGCCAATGATATATTTCTTCAATTATATTATTTCACCAAACCCCCTCGCATGAGACAAGTTTTACGTGTAGCAAGTAAGCTGAACTAACCTGTTTATGACCTGAATACATAAAGGCGTCACTTGGCTCCACTGTGACTTCGACTTCCTGACCTTGAAGCGTTCTATTGCGGACGAGATAGCTTACGAAAAGTGGGCTCTGTACACAGCCGTATGCAGGCAAATCTGAAAAAAACGGTACAATAAATAAACTTTTTTTCTTTGGTCTTGTAACGAGGTCGTGCCTCCATGAGGATTAGAGCCCCAGAATTTCGACTTCCGCTCTCGAATGGCAAGCTTTACTTTTTCCTTGTCCCACGCTTGTATGACGAAGAAAAAATATCTTTCTTTACTTTATTACGGAGCTTTAAATTTACCGTCTTTCCTTTTCTATTCATTAACAAATACATATATTCAAAGATAATTTGGTTTTATCAACTGAAGTGATAATGTAAATTGGCCACCGTAAAGGATTTCTACAGCTGAAGTATCGACGTAGGGCTGACGCTCGAGAGGTCCGCTTGAGAAACTCTTTACAGGGACCAATTTCTTTTATTAACTTTGTTAATAAAACATGACTATTGTTCAATACCCCCACTGACGTAGCACCAAATTATGTTTAAAAACGTACCCCCTCTATACATTTATTAACACTGAGTTTAACCACGTTTTTTTATGAGTGGCTTTTCCTAGTGCGTGTGAGGTTTCCTCATCTCTTGAACAATTTGAAACCCTGTAAAACGCGCAGTAAGAGTGCTTTCGCACAACCTTATCGACTTTATCGTGTTTATGCCAATTGGCCCGGAATTTCACCAAATTGACTGTAAGACTGATAGTTGTAACACATTTGGACGAATTTAAGAGATCCTCGCAGCTAACAACACTACTGAAATAGTAGTTGAAAATAGGACCTGAAAAAAATTTCAGGCCCGTACGGGATTTGAACCCATGACCTCTGCAATACCAGTGCAGCGCTCTACCAACTGAGTTAACAAGCCAACTGGGAGCTGGTCAATATGTTGGGTCCAAATTAACCATCCAAGTGATGAATAATGATTTTAGATATATGAAATTCATACATTTGCACTGCGGTGAAGAAACGAATTTAAGAGATCCTCGCAGCTAAGAACACTACTGAACTTGTAGTTGAAACATAAACTCACATCTGGACGACTTTGCCTGCACAAAGGTGGAGAAGCACGAATAAACCTTTTCCAGTATAGTTTGATTTTGACGCTTGGCATATTGCCGTATGATTAACCTTGCTGGAAACGTACCTGCCTGTATCGCAAAAGGAACACTCTCTACTGTTACAGAGGGGAAAGTGAGCTCTGTGACCACAACTGGAAACTTATCAGCCGCAGAAGTTCTAAAGAATTAAAACAATGTAAAATGATTAAATCAAGAAACGAAAGGACTTCTATATATTCCCCTAAATAAGGTTCAGTTGAAAAGGCATCAGTGGGTCCACTGAGTGTTGGCAAAAACCACAAAACCAAAGTAATAAAATTGGTTCATCAGAACCAATGAGAGCACGAAGAAAAATCAAGCAAACTGCCTGAAGCGCGGGAAAACGCGGATGGCCAAGTCGCCACTGGTTTAAACTTTGCATTTCATGATTGGTTGACAGAGAGAGAGAGTTGTGCAACTTTCCTACTCCAATCACAAAGCAAAGGAAGGCAAGACCAAATTTTGAATGCAGTTCGGTATTACAATCGGTACTCAATTGAAAATTGCTTCAACTATCTCACTTATCTTAGACTCCCTCGAGTTAACCACGAACTTACCGTCTCCACTGGAGGGCAAGACTTCCAATGTTCACGACCTTCAGTTTACTGACACCCTCTTTAACAGCTAAGCAGTAGCATTCCGACGCACTTTCACCCTGTTGCAAATAGACTGGGACCACCATACGTGGAGTTAGAAGGAGGAAAAGAAAACAGCAAGCAAGTCGGGAATAATTGTCAGTTTTTCACAAGAAATCTTGCACCCGCAATTTGCATATAAGGACACATAACGCAAAGCTGTATGTTCATATGAAAAGGGGCCTTGAAAACTCCTCAACAAAATACACCTCGTATTCCCATGCAAATTCTTCTTTAATTAAGAGGGGCCTTGAAAACCCCTCAACAAAATTCTCCTCGTATTCCCATGCAGATTCCCCCCCCCCTCTCTCCATTGGTCTACAAAATCGCTCAACCTTGTCAGGTATGTCTTTAATTAATTGGTCTACAAAATCGCTCAACCTTGTCTAGTATGTTTTTAATCAAGAGGGGCCTTGAAAACGCCTCAACAAAATTCTCCTCGTATTCCCATGCAGATCCCCCCCCCCCCCCCTCTCTCCATTGGTCTACAAAATCGCTCAACCTTGTCTAGTATGTTTTTAATTAGGAGGGGCCTTGAAAACACCTCAACAAAATTCTCCTCGTATTCCCATGCAGATTTCCCCCCCCCCCCACCCCCTCTCTCCATTAATCTACAAAATCGCTCAACCTTGTCTAGTATGAGGAGGGGGCCTTGAAAGCCTTGAAGCTCCTCAGGAAAATTCCCTTGTCTTCCCCTGCTGATTCCCCCCTCCTTCAATTGGTCCAAAAAAACGCTCAACCTTTTCTAGTTTCCCCAAATGTTCGGCGATTAGTTATAAAGAAGCCTAATCCACTCTAACGACGAGAATCTCACAGTTTTTTTGGGGACAGCAATGCAAGTAGACGCATCTTTAACTAATTCCGATCGGTTATTCTCGTAATACACAGACATGTATTCCTTACTTCCTTGCAGCTGCGATCCCATCTCTTCGCCCACAATATTCACTTCTGGAGACTGAAATCAAACAAACAAACAAACAGTTCTCCAGAATTTCTGCTTCTAATTCGAAGCACAGTTGAAAGTAGGAACCGACTATTCTCAAGAAGATATAGGTTCCTTGTCAATCCTCGATAAAACCTGAATTTCTCAGGCTACTTTTTCTTCAAAGAGTTAAATTGCAGTAAGTTTGAGAAGATCAATTCGAGACATGTCATCTTATCCAAAGGTTGAAAAATAATTCATGACATATTATTTTCGCGCGGTTCCGGCACACGCACGAAAGCTGTAGTATATATACATTCCCAGCTTGACTCGGGGGAGGGGATACTAAGTGAACCCAGAGATTCACTCTTCCACTTAATCGGAGATTTCGCTCCGACCCACCCCACCGCACCCAATATCTTGCAGCACTTGCTCTCCTGCTCCATTAACTTATCTTCACGACTATATTTTCTAAAGGAAGACAAATCAAGTTTTTACGAACATAAATTGTTTGTAAACTCACCATATTCAATGTAGTGGTGACCATGGTAACAGGCCAAGGTGAGGTGCATTTGATGCCAGCTAATAAGAGGAATGGTTCTTCTTCGAACAGCTGATCCAGTCTCTCCAACTGAGAATAAACGCAAATCAATGATTTGAACTCATTACATTGCTTTGGTTTACACCCCCCACCCCCCTCATAAAAAAACAAACAAACAAAACAAAACAAAAGCAAACCACGACGACGACAACGAGGGCATAACAAAACAAAATATCTAATTTTCAGAACAATTGATCGGCACGTGCATTTCAAAACTTTGTACATTTCTTACCCGTTTTTTGCAAAACAACAACTTGAAATCAACCAAATTTGTGTGGTCTGTGAACGGAAAACCCGATGGCAAACTATCTAAGCGCCCGTTTGGAACTCAACGCTGCTGCCATACGTTAAGCTGCGGTTGACGTGTGGCGCTACAAGAAGCAGTAAACGCATTTAGCCATTCGCGAAATTATAAATTCATTTTTAAACCATCGTTTACTGCGGCGTTGCCTTCCTGACTGCCTGAGGTCCCCATTTACTAGCCTAGACACTGCGTTACTTTGTATAGGAACCTTACAATTGAATTTTCATCGCGTGGTAAAAGACAACTTAGCGCTAATCATCAATTCAAACCACAGCACCCTCATTCAGATGCGTGTTAGTCAGAAAGTGTTTCTTGATGCACCAGACCAGGTTTATATTCGTAGAGTTATGCAGCGATCAAAAATTTTTGACGGATTTATAGATGCATTAATTTATGCCATAACTTTCAATGTAATAAAAAAATTTGAGACAAGAGCGAGAGCAAGTTTGCTAACATAGCCAAAAACGCAAGTTTGATCGATTCCAAGAGACGTAAAATTACATCGTAAAAAATATTGCCTATTTTCCCTTACCTGTCAGAGACAAAGAGATTTCAAATGGCATAACAGTCTTGATAACAACACTTTCCTCCTAGGGCGGGTATAAATCAGGACAGTAGAGAAAGAAGAAAGCAAAAAGTCGTCGTGATTTTGTATTCACCAGGTAGAGGATTTTTTAATTGCGTGTCGAAAGAAATCTGAGATTACTTGCGTTCTATCATTGGTCCAGAAAACTCGCGCCACTTTCTAAACCAATCAGATGCAATACTAAAGCCACGTTTTCCCGCCCTTTGGGTATTGTTGTTTTTCTTTTGAGTTCTCATTGGCTCTTTCAGTTATTTTCCTTTCTTCTGATTAGCCGTTGTGATTGCTTTGGTTTTGGTTTTATGACAGTCAACCGAAAAGCGCTCCATGTTACAAGTGCAACTCACATTCACAAGTGCAACTACATTACAAAGCGAACGAGAATTAAAATTAAATGTGGAAATACTGAGAGGTAGCCTTACTTTTACTTTTAAGACACAAAAGAGTGATCTCACCTTGGCACAGGTACAGGTGACTGGCGAAGAATTTGGTTCTACTTGGACATCTACAGTATAGATAATCTGCATTAAAAAAAAATAAATAAAAAAATAAGCAAATGACTAGGATTAAGCATTGATAGGAATCTTTTCAAAGAATGCAAGATATCTTAACTTGAAACTCGATCCTAAGAGAGTAAGAACATACAAAAATATTGCGTATCTAAAGGTATTGTATAGAGATCTATTAACTACGTACTGAACGGAAACGCATAGCCCGCAGAACATGCACAATAGGGCGAACGGAGGCAAGCGGAAGTGACGTACGAGGGAAAGGCGGGGAAAAATAAGGCACTCCTCCCCTTTCTCTAATCCTCGTTCGCCTTAAAAACGCCTCTTCTGCAGGCTACCTATTGCACGACAATTTGACTTGAGGTCTCTAAATAGACGCCCAAAGAATTGTGATTAAAGGTACAATTATAGCTTACTTAAGTATTATACCTTTGCTGTTACAGTCCGCGATCCTACTTGAGAGCATTTGACGAAGTACGACCTCTCGATCTAGAAAGAAAAGACGAAAGGGACACATTGATAATATGCAAGACGTGAATTAGGATGGTTTATTAGCGTTAAAGCCTTATTTCCCTGCACACCAGACAAACGAAGTAAAGGCAGTTTTTTAATCCAACAGCACTACATGGAATATCAAAAAGAAATATCGCGCGCAACGAGTACAAATTACCCTCGATATTGTACGGTTATTTCGACAGTTGGTTACTTTGTACTTAAAAAAAAAACCTTATAAATAGAGTAAAAAGATGGTTAGTTTTAAGATCGGTAAAGAAAAAGAGAAAGGTGTTTTTCGTCTAGTCACAATTGTAGGACAAAGAAAAAATTCCCCATGAGGAATCGAACCTCAAACCTTCGGATTCCGCGCTCCGATGCTCTACCACTGAGCCACAGAGACTCCATGGTTACGAAGCTCTTATATGACACGCGTCCTGCATACTGCTAGGATCAGCAATGTCGTTAGCGTCATGTTTTCTTTTGCTAAAGAAAACGGCAATCTTCGAGAATCGGAGGGGAAATGGGCAAGAAACCCTGAAATATAACAACACACAACAATAACGAGTGTTTAGACCTTTACTTAGAACAACTTTTAATTGATTGTCAATGGTAATCCGAGACTACATAAGTTTTTCTTCCTTACGGTCAAAGATCGGTCTTGAAAAGTCGAGCCACTCTCTCGACCAATCTCCCGCCTTTTCCCGCGCTTAATGGCAGTTTGTTTGTACGCTGAGTTTTCATAAACTTCTCGTGATATTTTCTTTTGTCCTGAGTGACCGTTGTGGTTATTTTAGGTTGCTTTACAACACTCAATCAAAAAGTGCTCTCGAAGAATCACCGAATCGTCACCATGCATAACAGAGCTAAATAACTTCAGTGCTGACAGTTTTGAACCAAGGTTGTGGTCTCTTAAAAGCTTCCTCTTAACCATATTCTTCCCACGAGTAATCAGAACTTAAATTCTCCATACTTTAATAATATGTAAAACAGAAAGTTTACGAGAATCAAGAACTGAAAATGATCCATCAAGGGATATTCAAGAAAGCGACGACATGTTACGGTGCGTCTGTTTAATAATAAATCGCAGATGACATCAGAATGCATCACTTTTTGGTTCTTTCCAACATTTTGAGGTCGTCTGTGATCTATTATGGAACAGACGTACGGCATCATAGAACCAGTTTGTCAAATATAACACCAAACTTTCTTTCCATGCGTTCAGAGGGTAAAACGCGATAAAGCGCGACAGTAGCAGCAGAGTGAAAACCAGAGAGGTTTGGGGTCAGATCGCGTACTTCATAACGCTCACAAAGAATCACCGAATCGTTACCATGTATAGCAGAGCTAAATAATTTCAGTGCAGACGTGAAAATGTATCACTTTTTTGTTATTTCAACATTTTGACGTCGTCTGTGATCTGTTAATGAACAGACACACGGCATCATGGAATCTGTTTGTCACGTATAAAACGAAATTCTCATGACTCACCATCAAAAGAAAAATCTGTCATTGGTTTGGAGAATTAATAAGATCTTTAGAGTTAAGGGTGAAAGCTGTTTTGGATTAAGCGACTCTAAGAGGACATTACAAACCTTAAGTAAATTTGAAGAAGGATGGTAGAATCTGCTGTTGTTGAAACTGAATCAAAGACTGGCTTACATTCCACTGGAGAAAGAACAAAATTGAAAACAACAGAAAATATTAAAATATCACACACTCCTTTGCATAAGACAAATAGAAAAAATTCATTCATTCATTAATATTTTGAACTTAAAAATTTTACCAGTCACCTTATCAAGCCTTGGTTTCAAAGGGTATTTAAGAAGAGTTTTTTTCTATCCTACAAGATTTTGTTTGCTGTATTTGGAAATTGAATTTAGCAGTTTCTACAGCCAAATTCAGTTTCTGCCTCTGTAAATTGTGAAATGATATCAGCGCAAAGAGGAAAAATACACAATAGAGTTGACATTTTCTCACCAAATGGTGCTATTTGTTCCATCTGTATGGTAAATACTTGGGGTGCCTGTGGTGTCACTTTAAGTGTTTTCCATAGCTCCTTAGCTTCTTCCACTGCTTCAAAGTCACAGCCTGGCTCGGGCTCAGGACATTCATTCTGTTTGTAATTCCAATGAAAAATAAGAAATGATACAGCGATAAGAATTCAGTTGTTTTTCGTAACATGCTTGTCCTGTAAGAAGCGCTCGGCGAAAACGCGAGTTATCTACGCGCGAAAGACCAGCCATGCGGGGAAAGAAACTCTCTTTCCCGCGCGTTTAACTCGCGTTCAGGCGCGCGCGTGCTTTCTATGTTTAAATCACCAGTGTCAGGGTCGTAGATGACAAAAACAGAGAAACTCAGCGTAAACTCATTCTACAATAAATGTTCTTCCAGAAATCCTCTTTAAACGACCATTTGAAATAAGTCCTTACCGACATGACGTGAATAAGATTAGTCTGACATCTTGTTTTCTCTTCAGGTGAATTTTCAACATCTGATGTTTTCTTGAATCAAGGACTCTATCACCAATACAATATCACATATTGGGTATGATGTTTCACTTTTACAACGCGATGGATTTGACTTAGAGAAAATCTGTTCAGCTTAATACGACTACAATAGTCAATTGATATTATTCTAAAATTCCCAAATTTTGCAACCTTACTAGTTGGTTACCGTAGAGTACCTTGCGTTTTGAAGGCGCTTTTCAGCCTTTCCACCTGACTTGGAAATCACTTTAACCCTTTAACCCCTAAGAGTGACTAGCATGAAGAATCAATAAGAACTCAAAGCATAAACAGGCACCCTGCCTGAAGCGCGGGAAAAAGCGGGTGACCAAGTCGTGGTTGGTTTTAGTTTTGCATCTGATTGGTGGAGAAAGTGGCCCGAGTTTTCTTGACCAATCACATTACGAAGCTAAGTTAAACCAATGCAATCCCACATCACTTTGCATTGAAAATAACTCTAACTAAGAGAATCTTTTCATCAAGAAAAAATGCTACATTCAGTTATTCAGATGATAGGCAATATTTTCAAGGATACATCTTCCTGTCAATTCAAGCGAAAGGGTGATATATTCCTCCACATTGCCAACCAAGTATGCACACCTGTAATAAGAGTTAAGTAGACTATGGATGTAAAAATAAATAAATCTAAAATTTGAAGTTGAGAAAAGCTGTTTTGAATGTTCTACCCCCAAAGTTGCCATTCATAAACAACCCCTTGACAATAATTTGACATGGAAAAAGAAGACCAACTTTGATTTTTGGCATTGTAGCAGTCCAACTGAACAGACGTGGAATTATTCTGTCTGTCCGAGTTGGTTGTGTCCGCATTGTAAATGAGCCAAACTTCCACCAACATCGACATACTATCCCTGATTCTCACGCTTAAGGGCTTTTCAATAACGTGTTGCCAACCACAACCAAGGTAAACCCAACAACCAATCACAGTGATGGTAAATACCACAAGGGGTAACTTAGAGAAAAAACAAGTAACCTGCCTGAAGTGCGGGAAAACGCGCGTAACCAAGGCGCCATTGGCTTCAATTTTACACCTGATTGGTTGAGAGGGTAGCGCGTGTTTTCAAGACCAATTTAAGAGCAAGGTAATGCAAAACTAAAGTAAACTCAGATTATTTCAACTGAAAATGCTTACATGTTGAGTTCTCAGAAACAAGAGCTGGAGAGTACAAATCTTGTCTCACTTACTACAAAACAACAGTACCTCAGTGATGTGATTAAAACTGACGTGAGAAGTGACCACCATTTTTCTCTGCGGTAATCCCACGTGACTTTTCCCAACAACCTTAAAGAACAACAAAGAATGACAACAATAAATGGAGTAAGTTTATGAAGACACTTTGGTGCTGCTTCGGCGGAGGTCGGTAAAGTTAGTTGAGGTGATAAAGAAAATTGGCCACCGTTAATAGTGTTTCTAACGCTGACGTTACGAGCGTTAGCCCTTCGTTAGAGCGAATGGAGGAATTGAGAGTCGTGTGTGGTTTATATAAAGAAAAATGGAGCTAAGCTATTGGTAGGAACATGGTAACGTGAAAAACACAATGAAAAGCTAGATTTTAAACATCAATCAAAGGAGCGGCGAAAACTTCCGTGCAATCACAAGCAGACCACACTGTGTTTGTTGTTACTTAACTAATTGTTGACATGAGACGAAAAAAATCTACGAGGGTTATGAATAAAGCCCTGAAAAATGCATACCTAAATTACATCTCGGTCTGACTTTCTCCATAAAGTTAAATGAAATGTTAATCAACTCATTTTGTGGTATGTTGGCGCCTTTTTACGAAATAACTTTCTCATAACGGCCTCCGGCCGAAAGTAATTTCTTAAAAAAAACGCTTCAAACGGCCTGGTCTGCCTGGTCTGCCTATGGTACAATACTTGACCACTACTGATTCTAAACTGAAACTTTCTCTACTGCTTTACTCACAATAAAGCTTTACTGTAATCCCTGGCGTGGTAATACTCCTCACCCATCTGAACCACTGCAGAATTAACAGGAAATAGTTTCTGTCAGGTTATTATCATCACGAAACGTTCTCATGTTCACAACCACACCACAAGACATAATGATAAACTTAAAGTTCTCTTTTGTCGTACAGGTACTGCTCAGCGGTCTCTCTTTTCTCATGATATTAGAACGTTAATAATGTACACAAAAATTACGCGCTTCTGATTGGCTAAAAACGAGTGCATTCTCGTGTAGCACGAGTGCAAATTCGTCTGTCTTGACTTTGTTAACTTTTAAAAGCACTACATGTACATTGTCATGAAGAAACAAAAGCTTTTAGTTGCATCTTGCTAAGTTCTTAACCCTTTACACTCTAAAATCAGTCTATATATTCTCCATACTGTTCTTTATACATTTCCTAAGGTGCTGACAAGGAGATTTTGTTCACCAATCAAAAGCCTCTTTGGTTGGTGATCATTTCCTTTATTCTCATGACCTTAACATGTGATTCAGGGCTGATATTTTAGGGAGAAATTTGATGCTGGTCACTCTTAGGGTTTAAAGGGTTAAAGTGAAAAAAGAGAGAACTTACTCAGGTATCTCTTCATCCTGGGTGATTTGTACTTTTTAAACTGAGCCACTGCACTACTGAGAAGGGGAATGATAACCCACTGGGAGAAAAAAAAAAGGAGCCAATATTCTAAGTACCTCAACCAAATATACAAAGTAGGTTAGCATAAATAAAGAGATTGATGGTAAGAGTATTTGCTAACAAGGTATTATGTAATACTGGCAATTGGGATTTCAAATTCATAATTGCTTTGGTTTGGCTAGAAAGCTCATTGATGCAATTGTGCACAACCAAAAATTTACAGTCATATTAACCTTGCATTTAAACTTAATTTGTCACCATGACTTCTCCCTGACATTTATCTGATCTTAATTTTCTTGAAATGAAAGTCTGCCAAACAATACAGTGCACTTACAGAATGGTCCACTTGGATTTCTTGGGACTGCAAGGCTATAATTCCAGCCTTCTCTATTCCTGCATCTGGTGGTTCTGTTCCTACAAATATATTAAGTCAAATGAACCCAGCAGTTCTACAAATTAAAGGAAAGTATTGCATCTCAACAGATCAAGTTTCAAATAAGCTCAAAAAAAAAAAGTTTTAAAATTTTTTTTCTGACAGAGTGTTTTTAATACACAAAAAGTTTTCTCTCATCAAATGGAACAAAATTCTAACACTGAGCTTTTCAACCAGTACATGGTTTGCAAAGGAAACTTACTGAGTGTCTCAACACCTTTTGTACTTACTCTAAAAAACACTGCAAGAGGAAAAAATTATATATTTGCAGTTACCTTGAAAACCTTGTCTCCAAGGTCTCTGACCATAGAAGTCGAGATTTCCAGCATTTTCTAAGGGATTCATAGTAAGTGGAGTGGTAGTCTAGAGATGAATTAATAACAGATTCCAATGTATTAACTAAAAAGTAACTCATCAGACTCAATGAACAATAAAAGTTAATTACATGCAGAAAACAAATGACCCTTTTGAGTGGTAGTTAATTAGTTTTTGGTTAGGTGTACTCTGAAGGGAATCTATGACCCTTTCTTGCCACTAGTTTACATTCAACATTATCCCACACTACAAGGGTGGTTTAAAGTCTAAGGCAATATTACTTATATCAAAACCTTCCCTGCCCCTCCCCCAAACAATTTCAAATTTTGTGTGCTTTGTAAATGTTACCAGGATGTAGTGCCTAAACTTAGGCTTTACCAACATTGTTAGAGGGGGGGAGTTCTGTGTACACAGCTGAATTGGCAAAAGATGGCCTTTTGTAATATGTTTGGATATAGGATATCTTTTTGATAACTGTCCGAACAAGCTTTGACCTCCATTGTAGCTATGTCCACCCATGTGCACAAGTATGTAGCCCAATTTATCTGGGTAAGGCCCTCCAGGAAAAGTTCTTTGGAAATAATTTGTACTTCAAAATTACCTAAGTCAGACAGTTCTAGTCTTCAAATTTTTATTGGTAAGTTTCAACTAATGATAAAAAAATGGTCATTTTCATTAAGAAAAATATTGCTCCTTTGAGTTTGTGTCTGTCACTGTTCCTTCAGATCTTTCTCAGCAATCCTCTGGCATGATAATAATTTTACTTACATGACACAAGCCCTGGCAAAGCTGTCTCCTGACAATGGCATTGTTTGCTGCTTGTTGATAGTAAAATCCTGGGTGTTGAGTCTGTGATAAAGTAACAGTTAAGTCTTTACCAGAATCTGAGAGTATGACTGATTTGGACACTCTAATCAGTCACTAGACCAGATTTGTTTGGGCACATTTACATCAATCCTATTTATTAAGGTGCCTCTCTCTGTTTATAGCCAAAATTTAATTAGGGGAGAAAAGATCATCATGATTGTTAAGAGATGACAAAAAAGTACCTTTAAAACAGAAAAACACTCCATTCTATTCATTTATATTGCATACAATTATCATAAGAGATATAGCATAATGGGAGACAATTTTTTCTTTATTCTAAATACCAATTCAGAATACTTAGTAACATAATTAGTAAGAATTTCTTTCTCTTCTTACAGATGTATTGTTGTTTGTAGATTTAATAAATAAATATTTCATTCATTAAACCAATATGCCAACACAGATCTTCTACATTGTTACCTGTAAGGCGGTTAAACCATTTCTGATGGCTTCATCAAACAGTTCTCCAAATAAACTGAACCTGTATTAATTTTTCACATAGTTTGTTATTGATTAAGCCTCTATAATTCCCTACCATACAGCATGTTGTATTAACTTTGACAATTATTCATCATTGAACTGACTAACAAATTATTTAAAAGTCTCCTGTTTTCATCATTTCAGTTCCATTACGTTGAAAAGTTCAGTCAAAAATTTCACTTCAACTTGACCTGTTCTTGATCTAATGTTGTTCAGAAACAAGAGTTGTTAGATCCTGGTCACAGCTTGGGTTTCTTTGAAAGCAAAAACCTTCTAGAACACAAACCAAAGAGGACTCACCACATCAAAGCTTATCATGGTTTCTGTAGCATAAAGAGACTAAAAGTTCTCTCTCTGGATTTGATGCTACATATAGGTCTGGTAGATTACCCCCTACCCCCACCCCCCAGCATTTTTATCAAATTCCCTTCATAATTGGCCAATACTTATTTCAACTCTGGGGTGGAGGGAGGTACTTTAGCTGTACATATGTAAGTGCCCAAAAAACAAACTGAATGCAGACCTTCCAGTTAAGAGTGAGGAGGCTAAACAGAAAAAATACTCACTGTTTGGAGAGCCAGGCTGAGTGTTCAAAGGCTAAGTCAGGGCAGCCAACCTTTTCCTTAAACAAATCCACATGCTTTCTGAATTGTGATATGGCATCTAATGGGGCTGATGCTTGGAAACTTAGACGGCAAATCTGTGAGACAATTAATAAAAATTGATTAATACTGTTTGGTTGTCAGGATAACTCAAAAGTCTGTAATATATGTTGTAGGAGGGATATAAATCACCAGATATATTGGTCCCATAGGACATTTAAATTCCACTGAATCTAAATTTAGCATCAAATTTTTTCAAACATATTTGGTTTTTTTGTGACCACTCTGCCAATAACCATTTTGTTTCTGTTTGTCACTGTTTCCAAAACACTCCTGTAAGTGACCATATTAAAAAATGTTGGACACATTTTTGGTACTGTGTTTCTCCTAAGCAGTCACCAACAGGTTTGTTATAAAATCAGAGAGAAATAAGGAATATTTCATCAACGTTGTAAGCGACACATTCTATAATGTAGTTTCATTCTGAAATGAAATTGGATGGTTAAGTGGGTAAACTGATTTCAAGAATTAATAAATTACACTGAAGTAAAAGTACTGTACATAGTTCACTGTCAATAACCATTTAAATTTGTTTCTGTTTGTCACTGTTTCCAAAACACTCCTGTAAGTGACCATATAAGAAAATGTTGGACACATTTTTTTGTACTGTGTTTCTAGTAAGCAGTCACCAACAGGTTTGTTATAAAATCAGAGAGAGATAAGTAATGTTTCATAGACATTGTAAGCTCACATTCTATGATATAGAACTGATGCCAAGAATGAATAACTACCAAACTACTGTACCATAGTTCACTCAAACTTGCTGAGAATAAAATAAACAAATGGACCTCCCTCTTTTGACTTTGAACGGCACAATTAAGGTATCTGGTGAAAAATTTACCTTGCATTTTGACAAAAGGAGTAAATAATCCCAAAAATGTAAAATTACGTGATAAGAGATCATGTCTTTAACTCATCCAAGATGTACAATGTCTTCTTCACATCATTACTTTTATGTAACTATTATTACAATGGTATACACCAAATATATATTGACTAGAGTTCTAAAATATGAAAAAACACAAACCTTGTAATTAATAAATCCAGCAACAACTTTGATCTCTAGTATGTTCATGTCAGTTGTCTTGATTTCTCCAAGAAGACTGTATGCTTGCCTGTAGTGCCTGGGGTTAAAAATTTAAAAAGTCTTTCATCAATCAGCTGATGTCTGGTATGTTAATATGCAAATGTAACTAACTTGGGAGTTTATGTTGAGAGATCTCCAAGGCAGGAAGACTGAAAATATTGGGGGAAGAAATCTGTGGCAGGAGTTGCCAATTTTGTAAACTGTCTTTGGCTGTCATGTGGCAAGGCAGAACAACTTTTAACTCTCTGTCATTTTCTTTCATAAAAAAAAAAATTTGCTCCTTCTCCTCCACTGTCCTAGTTCTAAACCTTGAGATACCTTGTGAAAATCCTACACTAATTGCTGGTCATTTCAGAGACAAGCATTGCTGTCAGCTGAAAGTATATTGTTTAATATTCTCACAGTGTGTCCTTTTCAAAATTTTCATTTCTATTTTTCCTCTTTATATTTTCTTTTCTCAAAAAAGTTTCTTAACAGAAAGTTGGCTTACAGCCCTGAAAGTTCCTTTTCCTTCCTGACCCCTTAACCGAAAAAAAGGGAAACACTGAGATCTACCTTTTGGCCAACTAATTATTGTCATTGCAAGATCAATAAAAAAATAAATACTGACGAACTTACTTGATAGCAGAGTGAGGGTCTTGTCTTAGCTCATTGAAAAAGGCAACCTTGAATTGGTGTCGCACCAACAATAGCTACAACAACAGTAGAGAAGCAAAATAAGAGATTTATGAATTGTTGAGGCCATGTGCAAAGCAAAATGTGGTCAGTGATGTCTTTGGTGGAATATAATAATAATATATATATAAGAGGGTAGCAAAAAAAAGACACTGAATGAGAAACATTTCAAAGTAACACCCTTCAAAGCTGACATCAACAAGCTTTTTCTGCTTAGAATTCTTGGTAACTCTTTCCCTCAGCCTTTAACTAAATGTAGTTCTGTAGTTTGAGTAGAATCCATCACATCAAATTATTGACATACAAAGATCACTTTTGCAAAATAAAGTTCTCACCTGATGAGTTCCTTTGTTAAGAAATTCCTAATGATCATAAAGAGCATGAAAACATAATAAGTGTCACTTCATTCTGTATATTGATAAAATTTTACCTTTTGTGCTACAACATAAAATTATTTTGATGGTAATTCTGGCTAGTGAAAAGGTAATCTATAGAAACATTACATTGTGCTACCAGGCAAGTTATTATACAGGAATGTATATGACCCAGAATTTTGGCACATTTTCCAACAGACAGTTTTAGCTACTGGTACTTTTCTGTCCTTGATCTGAGAAGAGAAATTTACTTAGTACGGGGGAGTGTCCTACTAAAAAACCCAATGGCTTTACCATGAATTTATGTTGAACTAAGGCAGTTAAACCAAAAGAGTCCAAAAAGCTAACCAGAACGCTATCTTTTCCCCTTTTACTGACTAGTTGAAAATTCAATTCAAGACACTCAGAAACTGTGGCCTCATCTTCAATCTGTGTCATCCATCTACATGTACAAGACAATGTAGACAGTGACAGTTGAAAATAAATTTTAGACCAGGACCATTTAACAGTTGACACAGTTTATTACATTTGGCACTGTATTTCCCTAGTTTCTGCAGCATGAAGCAAATACAGGCTTGTTGTTTCCTCCTGGCTGGGATTTTAATAACCTGACCTTCTCCCTACTCCCTTAAATTTCCAGAATTGCAACCTCACCTTGTGGGCTTTAACTCTCCTACATTCTCCATGGTAATAACTCTGTGCTAAATCATAAAAAGCATTCTCCAGCCTTAAAAAAAAAGAAGAAGAAGAAATATTTATCTCATAAGTTTCAAACCTGTTCCTTTTTTATTTTGAAGCGGCATGAATTTCATGTCCCATGAATGACTACGATAACTTGCAGTATGATCATTCAACTCTTTAACTCCCATGAGTGACCGAGACAGAATTTCTCCTTACAATATCAATACAATATCAACTAGATTAGAGATGAGAATAAAGAAAAATATCAATTTGGGGATAATTAGTTGATCTGATAAAAAATTCTCCAAACTAATATTATAAGAATTGTATGGTTGACAGTAAGGAGAATTACAAATTTGATCTGGGAGTTAAAGGGTTAATCAGATGAAAACACAAATCAATAGAGAGGCTGTTAACTCTCTTGGGAAAGTCTTGATAAATGCTGATAACATCTGATTTTCTGATAGATATTCCCTTATTTTTAAAACATTCTCATCCCATGTAAGTAACTAAACAACTTGTAGTGAGTCTAAAGTTAGTTTAACCCTTTAAGTCCCACTAGTGACCAAGACAAAATTTCTCCTTACACATCAGTACAATATCAAGCAGACAAGTAATGAGAATAAAGAAAAAAATATCCAGTGGAGGATTATTGGTTGATCCAATTCCAAATTCTCCACACAAACATCACATGAATTGTATGGCAGACAGTAAAGAGAATTACTAATGAAATCTTGAGACTGAGTTAAAGGGTTAATAGAGTCTGAGGCTTACTCATGTAAAAGCTTTTCAATTTCTTTCTACTTCACTGTCACTTTTTCCAAATAATTCTAACTAACTTAGTCTTTATTGTGTCCTGTTTTGTAACTTTTCTTGATCAGCTAGAATAAATACAATAGAAAAAATATGAAACTCTTACTAAATAAATCTTTTCTTATATTTGACAAAAGTTGGGCTTTTACATTCAACTGCAAACTCAATGAAAACCAATCTCATCAAAATCAATCTAAAATGATAAATTTTGTACAAATACCTAATTGTGTAGCCAATCAAGTGATCTGTATGTGGAAGGACAAACAATGATTTGGCTGACAGGTCACATGCACTGCACAGTGTTGCTGCCCTCTCTAGTGCTTGTAAATCATCACCTGTGATTCATTATAATAGCATAAATTTCCTCCATGAAGGGTACTCAAATCCTTGGATACAGGAACTAATATGAAATAATGTATTTTTTTCTGAAGCATGTCAACAGGCTGGAATCTTAAATTCTTGACTCTGATTGGCTAATTGTACCCCAGTAACTGGTCCAGCTTGTTAAAATACAGTTTTACAATCATGTTTTTCTATGTGGGAAGAAACTGTGCCCTTGACCTCGATTACAGACACCAGTCTTGGGCCATACTCAAGACCTTGGGCACAGTTTTTCTCCATTTTCCAGCCCATGCCTAGCTCAATAAATGACATGTAAATAACATCATAATGCCTCTGGCAGATTTATAGGATAGACCTGGCAGTCACTTATGGTTTGACGTTAGCAGTGAAAACACTACACATGGATCTAAAACTCTCTACTTAATAACATCATCTTTTGACTTCTATGTATTTACTGATGTTTACCTGGAGGAAGAGGAGCATTCTTTTGGATAAGAACCACAGCAACCTTAGTGTTCTGGTCTTGAAGGCTGGTCCTGTTCAGAAATTAAAAGATTGCTTTAAATGTGTAGGATTGAAGTTATAGAATCCAAAATTATTCATTGTACTGGGTATTTTTTTTTTGCATTTGATGAGTTGATGAGTTTTGTAATGTTCTTATTATAACTTACAAGTATCTGATTGTCGCTTGGTAGAGAAGGAGGTTTCCAGAGTGTCAGGAGCACTTACTGTTGTTATGACAAACTTATTTGATGGTTGTTATTTGAATTGCACTCTAAATCACAGTAATTGTTAATTAAGCTGATGATTGGACAAAAGTCATTTTCTTTTGTTAATTAAACAATTGTTTTCTGCTCAAATTTACATGTTAGTATTTACATATTATTCTGTGTGTTTATCTGTCAGAGAGCACGGAATTAAGTTTTTGAGTTGTACAATGTCATAAAAATCAACACATACAATGGAACCCTCTTGCCTAAAAATCAAACTACACTTGTCATAATACTTATTAATAATTTTCAGTCATGTCATTAGTGCTGATTAAGGTTCACTGTTATAGAGGGGTAAGATAAAATTCTCACTCTCTTGTTATTACCTGACTCTTTCTAGTTTTGAAGCACATTCAGTTTGCCTGTCTTTCCACTGAACGTCATCCCAATCCAACTCATAAAACATGACCACCACAGCAGGAGAGAGATAAAGATGTTTGTGCATCCATTTTGTCTTCAAGATACCCTTTGGTATGTACCACTCATAGGTAGAACGCTACAAGGAAACAAGACTCAGTGATAAAAAGCCAGCATACACTTGCATAAGCAGAGGTCTCAGTAACACTGGTTACAGGAGGCCTACTGTTTCTGTGAGAGGTCTTACATTACTAATTGGCTATCTGCTAAGATTTTCAATGGTAGTGACCCCACTAATAGCAGTATCTGCCCTCACTTATGGAAAATATTACTGAGACTCCATGCACACCAACAAAGATAAAGGTTCACTTAAACCTTTAACTCCCAGAAGTGATTAACATGAAACTTTTCCCTATGATATCCAAACATTATTCAGCAAACAGGTAATGAGAATATTCAAACTTATCAGGTAGAAGATACTATCTTGATCTAGCATCAAGTTCTTATAACTAATTTACAAGGAAATTTGTAGCAGCTGGAGGGGAGAATTAACAATCAGATCTTAGGAGTTAAAGGGTTAACACTTCAAATCCCATGAGTGACGGAGACAGAACTTACTTTTAAAATTTCAATGCAAAATCTGTCTTGCGTAATGCCAGTGTCGCTATGGTCCCAGAGGGGCGATCTCCAAAGGAAACCCTTTGCATGATGTATGTATTGGGATGTTGACTTGTATTGAAGTCACGCCATAGGAAGCGATGAGTATGGTGATCAATTTCCTGAGTTCTGACAGTATGATACATCTTCTTTACGTCTCCGATGATGGCGATTTCATTTTCTCTGAATCGTATCAGGATTCCTAGTAATTCGTTCAGTAAGTCTGGACCCTTGGCCCAATACTCATTTAGGACGTGTCCCATATAATTCGCACTGCTGTTGAAGACGATTCTCACGGGGGTCGATTTTGAGTCGGGTTTCAGGACTTCGTGGTGAGAAATGTAGTGGATTGGTCCTTTATAGCTTTGTAACTCATCCTGGGAGAGTTTTCTTGCTACGCCTCTAGCAATCATATCTTCTATTTGCTTTTGATAGACGTCAGCGTGAGCTTTATTTTTCATGAGTCGCCTTTCAGTTGACATGAGCATGCTGAATGCTACGCGCTTGTTGTCAGGAAGTTCATAAGGGTCTCTGATCCATGGATACCCGGCAATCCATATCTTATTTTCTTCGTCGTATTTAAAATTCTTGTCGATTAGTGCTAATTCCTTCTCCTCTTTGATGCTGTAGTTTTTACTTCCGACTGAACATTTGCCACATTTGCAGCCTCCACAGCGCGGATTGCAATTGATCCCGAGATTCTCGATGTTATAGAAATCTTCGATTCTTACTGCTCGTACATGATGAGCTCTGATGTTTCTAAGAGGTTGCTCTTCATTCATATTCTTGATTGAAGAATGTGTCCCGCCAAGGCATCTACCGAAACGGTTCTTTAGGAGTAGGAGGTGGTCGACGTTCTTCTCCTTCTGAGGATGATAGTTGGCGTATTCATAGCCTATTAAAACATCGACGGTACCAGTGGGTCGAGCAAGATCTTCTTTTGGTATGTTATTGAAGTGTTTTGCAATCCCGTCTATCTTAACGTTTTGGATGTCTGAAGTGATTTTGTCTATCCCGTACACGTCAAAGTAAATCCGATTGCCTTGTAGGTCAAATAGAGGAAGTTTGTACTTGTATGAAATCAGGGCTTCATTCTCTCCTCCAACCTTAACCAGAGATAGCTGAACTTTGGTTCCTCTCAGTTTCTCTGCCTCTGCTTTTGCATTTGTAATAAAGGAAAGAGATGCTCCATTATCCCACAAGACATTAACCCAACCTTTTGGACTTCGTATTTTCTGTATCTGAAGTAAACAGGTGTCAACGTCAGTGCTGTCGCATACACTTGCCGTGCCAGAAACTGAAGGTGGCGTTTCTTCTTGTTTGGGCGAGGGCTCTGCTTTCTTCTCTTGATGCAGTGTACTGTGATGTGTTCTTTTGCAATTATTGACATTGCAGATTCGTTTGCTTCGACATTGTTGCGAGCGATGTCCACGTCTCAAACACGACCAGCAAGCACCCTTCTCCTTGACAATCTTCTCCTTTTCCTCAATCGGTTTGGAGAGGTATACTCGGCACTCGCTTGTCCAGTGGTTACCATTTTCGTGAATTAGGCATTGCCTGTTTTGTTTGGTATTTCGTTGTTGTTCAACTGGATTGTCATCTTTCTTGTCAGTATGATTCACGGAACCCTTAATTTTTTCACTGCTCAGGCGTAACTCTGCGTTCTGGTATTCAAGAGCTCTCTTCAGGTTCAGTAGAAATCTCAATAGACTTGGAAACTTATCAGTTTTATCAATGGTGCTCGTGTCGTTGCTGACTAATCTCGCCCATTCTTTCATTACGTCAGGGGGTAATCGTTTCTCAATGATGCTGATCGAGCTAGTTGTAGTTATCTCTTTCTCCAATTTTAGGTTGCATAGATCGCGATAGCCTTCTTCAATTACATTGACGAATTGAATGAACTTTTTGTGCTCACCTTCCTTAATACATTTAACATTCTGAATGGAATTGATGATGGCATCAGTGGTAAGCTTAAGGGTTGCTCCGTCATTGGATTTGATGAAGGTTTTGCTTTCATTTTCATCGACGCGGGTTGCCATTAATTCTGAAATTTCACTGTAGCGTTGTTGAACGTCAAAAATCCACCGCAATTCTCGTTCTACGGAGTCTTTATCAATGAGCTCGATTAACTTTTCGTGTTTTTGTTTACAGTCGACAAAAGCCTCTTCAAGCTGACTTTGCAAGTTTTTCATGTGCGTCGTTGTAACCTTTTCGTTTTCCATCGTATGGGAAGCATTACCATATAAGGCATCAAAGACTGCGCGTGCAGTGTTCCTTTTGTTGAGGATGCATTCCTTTTCTTTGCTTGCGGATTCATCGCGTTCTTTTTCTGCGCGCGCTCTTGTTTCATTTTCTATGTATTCAAATTTTAAATTTCTCGCGTCCGTGTAGAGGTTTTGTAGCTCTTCGAGCCAATTTTCTGCTGTGTTCATCTCGTCATCCTTCAGGAGCTCTATATAGGCGTTGTGTTTACCTTCTAATTCCTTCCATGCTTTGACGAGCTCAGCATAATCGTCTTCAATCACATCTGCTATTCTTCTGTCGCGGACAGATCTCAGCAGCTCATTCCTTTTCCTTGTGAAGATTGTTCTGGCATTCTTCCGGTCTGTTTTCGCTTTTTCTGGATCCATTATCTTCGTGTTCACGTCTCAATGGATTTCGAATGTGACGGTGTGTTAGGACATCAATTTACCAAAGGTTCCAAACCTCGATATTTTATTACAATAAAGAACGGATGAATGTTATGACAAAATTCATGGATATGGATCGAAGATTCGAAATCTGTAAAGTAATCGGTTAACAAATTGGTTTCAGTTCATATCGATAATATCGAAAGAAATCAAGATAAATATTTACCCATTGGTTCTAGGTGTCCATAACACTGTCTAGCGATAGAAAATCTTAACAATTATATCTGTTATGTCATCAAATTATAATGCGCAAAGAAATTAGAATATTGCGCAATACACTCCCCGCCGGCAATTACAGACTGTTTAAAGTTTTCGGTAAAAATCATTTCAGAATTAAACATAATAGTTCAGAGTTATTATTGCAAAAATGTTTTGAGATAGTTCATTTGTGTTCTGATGCAGGTAGGATAGTTATCAGCTTGTTAACTGGTCGTTCGATAGTTGTAAAGCCTTTCCCTTTGTATTCGGTCACTTTTTCGCCAGGCTTGGGATTTTTATATTCGACGAGGGCTCGTCTGACCTTCCCGTCTTCCCCTTTGTAAACTTTTGATATTTTCCCAAGTTTCCATTGTCCTCTTTTCGCGTTAGAATCTTGGATAAGAACAATGTCATCAATTTCAAGGTTTCTCTGGGCCGTGTGCCATTTTTGTTGGACTAATAAGCTTGGAAAGTAGTCTCGAGTCCATTTCCGCCAAAATGAGTCAGTTAGTTGTTGTATAAGTTCAAAGCGCTGTTTGATGTTGGACGGCTCTTTGAAAGGTCCACTTGGTACTCTTGATGTTGCTCTACCAAGGAGGAGGTCATTGGGACAAAGATAGGTATCATCTGTTGATGTAGGATGTCGGCCGATTGGTCGTTCATTTACAAGATTTGCCGCTTCGTAACAAATGGTTTGTAACTCGGAGAAGGTTAGAACGCTTTCACCAATAGCTAATGTGATTGCTTTTTTCACGGATTTAATAAGTGCTTCCGATACACCGTTTTGCCAGGGGGCATCTGCTGATGAGAACTTCCATTCAAATCCTTCCATTACTCCGAACTCTAATAGCTGTTTCTTATCTAAGTCGTTGATGACTTTCTTTAGCTCGGCTCTTGCTGCTACTAATTGGCTGCCATTGTCAGAATACAATTTGGAAGGGTATCCTCTGATCGATACAAATCTTCTTAGTACCATTAGGAATTTGTCGGTACTGTAATCAGGAGCTATGTCGATATGGACAGCTCTGGTTCCCATGCAGTTGAACAGTACTCCATATCCCTTTCCAAATGTTCTTTTCTTGACTTCGTCTTTAATCTTGAAGGGTCCGAAATAATCAATCGCAGTGGAATTCCACGGGGGTGCGGGTTTCAGCCTCTCTATTGGGAGTTTTCCCATAATTTGTTCTTCTGGTTTTCTTTCAAGCTTTCTACAGATAATGCAGTTGTATTTGATGGATTTGGTTAGTTTCAACAACTTCGTGATCCAAAATCTTGATCTCACCTTGCTGGCCGTCGCGAGGAATCCGAGATGGCCTCTTCTGTGAATATGCTCAGCATAAAGGCGTGAGAGGCGATGTTGATATGGCAGAAGTATTACCTCGGTTTTGTTATAACTCATCTCGATCCATCTCTCACCGCGGCCACCTACGACGTATATGCCATCATCGCGCCTCCTTGGACAAAGTCGTTTGTATTTCCCTTTATCTATGTCACGTTGCATTGATTTTTGAGCTTCATGAATCCAAAATGTTTCTGCCTTCGAGATATCATCTGGTGTGAGCGGTCTTGAGGCATTTTTAAATGTCATCTTGTG